ACAATACAGAAAACTGCTGAGAATGAATATCATTTTTCCTGTGTTAGACACAGAACACCTCTTGGCATCTTTTTTGTTGTTGTTGTTTGGATTGTGGTACTCCTGGCATCTTAATTAAAATTTTTCTATATTTAAGATAGTGTGAATAATTATTGAATATGTAGAATAACTTGTCCTTTTTTAAAAACATGTTTTAAATCCCCAAACCCTAATAGTTTAGCAGATTTTTCCCTTCTATATTCCTCAAAAAATGTGATAGTCTTGTAGTGAAAGAAGACATGTTTATTTCTTTATGTAGAAAGTTTCTCTTTGGAACACTCACATTAAAACGTTAGAATTTTTCCATTAAATTTGAAAGCCCCCTTTTTTTATACATGTAATGATAGAGATGTGCATAGACTTTTCAGTACCATTAAAATATGTTTGCATCGTATTTTACTCCTCTTTCCTGTTGTTTTTCACCCCTTTTCTTCCATTGTTAACTCTTCAGCAGTTGAGAATCAAGTAAATAAATACACTTTTAATTCAGGCTGTGGACATGGTAAAAGTATTGTATTCACTCTCCGTTTTCTATTTCCTGTTCATTTAAAGGTGTGAAACTTCGGCTCTAGTAGCAGCTGATTATAATATACTTAAGTACACTGAGTGGCTCATCCTAAAAAGTGAGAAATGAAATGCTTTCTTAAAATGATGCTTGTTTTAATATTTTATGGAATAGTCACCGTTTAGTACTTTTTAAAGAAAATTGTTGGGGTGGGGGAAACTTAAAAGTTTTCTAAACAGTTATAACACTTTGAATTCATTAACAAACCAAAAAAAACAAATTCTGCAATTACTTTGAAGTATTCGATTAACAAGTAAATTAGGATTTTGCTAACAGTATTGTCCCTTTGCAGCACTTGTGTACAAACTAGTAGGTGTCTTAAAGTCATATACTTGATTATACCTGAAGATCCACTTCCCAAATTATACCTTTTTTCACTCTAAAAACCTGCTCATTGTTATCAATGTAGTTTACTGCTTCAGATGATGATTTACTATATGACCTCAAGTTTTTAGCACTTTGGACTAGAGATCTGAAAGTACTTATGTAAATATTTACTGGTTTATTTTCAGTATTAAATTTGAGGATCACATGCATAGTTATGTCTTGTACAAAGTAATTCATACCATCATAGACATATGAGTGTACCTTTGTAAATACAAAGAGGTACAAAACGTACTACATACTCTGTAAAGAAGATGGTGAAAATATGTGCTTCAGTTAGTCCCTCTTGTAGAAAGGTGCATTTTGCATAAAATAGAACCCCCCTGCCCGCCTCCCTTTTTTGGGGGGAGGGAGGGCTTGAAATTGCCCAGGGAAAGTAAGGTTATGTATGTCCTAGATTTATGGAACTAGCCTGGCTCCTTTAAAGCTTTTAACCAAAAAAATTTTTCTTAAGCACAATTAAAGGTAGCACCTGACTAGAACCTCATAGCATACTTACATTATGTTTCTTTTCTTTTCTTTTTTTTTTTGAGACAAGGTCATACTCCCTTGCCCAGACTAGCAGTGGCACAGTCTCTGCTCACTGGAAGCTCCACATCCTGGGTTCAAGCAATTCTCCTGCCTCAGCCCCCGGAGTAGCTGGGATTATTGGCATACACCACCATGCCTGACTGATTTTTTATTTTCAGTAGAGGTGAGGTTTCACCATATTGTCCAAGCTGGTCTTGAACGCTTGGCCTCAAGTGATCTGACCACTTCAGCTTCCCAAAGTGTTAGTATTACAGGGGTGAGCCACCGCACCTGGCCTATGTTTCTTATTAAGTAAAATTCAGCATATTTTTGGTTATTATAGTATCCATTTAAATTCCTTGAAGTTTATTTCAGACCTGGGTGGCATGTAAATGAATAGTTCAGCAAGCAGTTGTTTATACAGGTTTGGTACTTACAAGAGTAGTCAACAAAGAATGTAAAGGAGAAACAAATGTAAACATAAAGTTGAATAGTTGCAGGTGAATAAATGGTATTACCCACAGAGATTATGTAATTAGAGCACAAAAACCTGCTAGACAACACCTGCATTGAAGGAGCCAGAGGTAAATTTGCCATGAAAAAATAGAACAAACATGGGAGAACTAATGTCTTAGAAGCCAGTGGCAAAGTACAAAAGAGATATGTTAATTTTCTTGATGACGTTGAAGATTTTTATTCTGTTTTGACAGCTCAAATAAAAGAACATGTTAGGATTTTAAAAATAGGAGAGTTTCATGATAAAAATCAAGAAATAGCAGTTAGCTTTACCTTATGTAGACCAGTAGGAATTAGATAGTAGTACTCTGGTCACATGGAACCAGATGATGAATAAATATAAGATCTGAATTTATAAAGTAGGGATAAACTTCTAGGATTTTTATTCTATGAGAAAGGAAAAAACAATCTAGCTTTAGAACTTTAGATATAGTGTAATTAGCTTAAGCTGTATAAGCAACAAAGCTGATTTCAAAGCTCAGTGTTTTCTGAAAGGCTGGGATAATGGAAGTCAGCTCTAATATGTAAGCACCAGAATAATCTATTTTCTTTCTATACCCCATTCAATAACTTTTCTATCCTTGAATTTCCCTAAACTTATGAATATCCTAACCTATTATATAAAAGTATAATAATTACCCTTTATTTTACTCTTTAAACTCAAGAGCATATGGAGTGGTGGCAATTTCTTGTGTGCCAGACGGTTTGAAGGAATGTGGTATTGTGTATTTATGTGTGTTACTTTGTTATGTGGTTGTTTACATTACAGTGGATGCAGAATGAGAGTGGAAAATTGAGTACATACTTCCACATTCAGTTAGAAGTAAGATTACATGGAAAGGAGAATGTATGCCTTAGTCTGGAATAAGCAGAATGTTCTTATCCTCCACCATCATACCTCTCAGTCTTGTCACCAGGCAAGGTGCATAAATAGGGCCTTGCTCTAGGGAATGGGAGAGTTTATATGCCATGACTTCTATTTTAAGAGAGTTATTGAATACCAGATTGTTAGAGCTACAGAGGAGCTTGAGGCCCATCATATTCTAATTCTCTTTAATTACACTTGGGGAATTGGCTGTCATTATAGTTGGTACACTTGTTCACATAGCTACATGTATATTTTCCTCGCTTTTAAAAAAATCTTCTTGGGAAGGAGTGCCAGTTTATTATTCTTTTTACTTTGTGAGCCTTTAGAAAAAGGTTGGATTACTTTTCACAGGGGCTGAAACCTCAAATCATCTGTACCTGGAACTTCATTCATTAATATCTTACTAGCATGAAAATGTATTCATAAATAACTTTGAAGTTCAATTCTGCTATCTAGACTTTTAACGTGTCTGTTATTTTCAAATATACTAATAGATACTAATTTTATGTAAAATATTTAAACAAAGGAGATACTTAATGTGCACACACACACAGACACGTACACCTTTACCATGGGAAGTGTTGAATGTTAGAAGTCTCTCGGAATTTAATCAACAAAATTCGTTTAAATGCAGTCACGGTTCTGCCAGTATACTCTGGCAGACTTCATGATTATAGAGTTCAGTTTGTGTGTACTCTCCTTGATATAAAATCTTAACTTTTTATATTGACCATCCATTCTTCATAAAGAGGCTTTGTATCCAAGTCAGAGCTATATGAAAGGTGTTTTTATTTAATTAATATTTGTTTTCTGATTTCTATTGTAGGTAACAATAAACTATAAAGTCATCCTTCTAAAATCTTATTTCTTCCGCATTAGTGGCATTTTTCAATGGGCAAAATTAGCACAATATGTCTTTATCATCTCATATGGTGTTTCATAATATTTGGGGTTTGTATATTTTATCCTTGCATTATTATGAATACTTACTGGTTAGGGTTACTCTTGCTTAGCATATTCATTCAGTACACTTGTTCATTCTCATAGGATCTAACCCTGCCACTTCTCAGAAACTGCATTCTTACCCTTATGTTATTTATCCGAAGTGCTTTTATCTACTTGTTGTGTCAGGTTTATCCACCGCTTGTCCATTAGGATGAAATACATACAGGTAAAATTAAGTTACTCAGATGTTTCTAACCCGTCATATCTATGCAGTCTACTTAGGTTATTTTTTGTTAGTTGATGGATTTCTCCTAATTCTCTCACTCTTGGCCTAGTTGTTTCAAGGCAACTAACTGGTATTACAAGCACATCTCTGTGGTCAGGGCTTTGAGAGATTGCTAGTATAGATTCTTGAACTTTAGTACAGTAATAAATAACCATTAAAGCTCTTATTGGTATACCTAATTGGACATACACTTTGCATGTCACTTACTGATGGACATTTAAAGCAAAGTACTCGTAGGAAGGGGAGACTATTGGCAGTAATAAACATAAACTATATTAAACATTCACATTTAATGTGCAAGAAAGACTAATAAATTATAAAGTGCATTAGAAGACAAATTATCTAAATGTCTTTTATGACCCTGCTTATCAAATGTGGAAAAGAGAGAAATAAGGTCACATCAAAAATTCTGCCCTATAGGATCCTCTGAATTTCTCTCTTTAAAAAAAAAATTTTTTTTTTCAGACAGGATCTTACTCTATAGCCCAGGCTGGAGCGCAGTCTCTGCTCACTGCAGTCCCAGCCTCCCGGGCTCAAATGATACTCCCACCTCAGCCTCCCAAGTAGCTGGTACTACAGATGCATGCCACCACACCCAGCTAAGTTCTGAAAATTTTTTATACAGACAGGGTTTCTGCCATGATGCCCAGGCTGGTCTCAAACTTCTGGACCCAAGGGATCTGCCTGCCTCAGCCTCCCAAATGCTAGGATTACAGGTGTGAGCCACCAGACCAGGCTCTGCGTCTCCTTTTAAAATGAAAATTAGTAAAACAATTCTACTAGATGTTGAAGACTGAGAAATACAAGTGTGAATTGGCTCATTTTCACTGGTACTTCCCATTAATTTAAGGGTTTTTTACACTTCATATTATGTCCATTGGTTGAGGAAACTAATTTTTTCCTAAGGATGTTACATTAGTGGTCTTAAGTATTCCCTAAGGATTATGCAATGAAATTTGGAAGCTGACTTTAAAAGTTTGAATTTTATTTTATTTTTTAACAGATATAGGCTGGATAAGGGTAATTAGTTTTTGAAAGCAAAGCCGTGTCTCATTTCTACTTTGGTGATTTTGCCTCAATTTTTTATTTTTAGAGGTTATCTTTATTTTTGAAACCAAAGTGGAGAGATGAAGAAATATGATCAAAATCAATGGAGTTGAGCACAAAGATTTCATTTGACCTATACGTTTCAATATGATCATAATGATCTTTTTATAGTGCTTTTCATAGCTTTTGGGATTGTGTATTCCACCTTTCTAATTTGAAAGGTGAGTGTTATAAATGGGATGACAATGGTATTTCTGTGGTGCCTATATCCTCATATACCTTACAGTTTTTCACTCACCTAGAACATTTCTTGCTGTACACTAAAACATTGGTTTCTGTTTACAAAGTGTGATATTTAAACAAGTTAATTGACAAAACAGTGTTTGATTGATATCTCTAAAATGTACTGAACAATCAAGTGTTAAATTTATTTACTTACTGTCTAAGGAAAATTATTGTGAGTAATTAGGTTTGTAGTAGCATTTTGCTAGTACACATTTATCTGAATGAGTGACCACTAGATCTGCTTTGTTAAGACTGTTTTCAGATACCCATTCAAGGACTTTACTTTGTTGTTCCTAAGTAAGATCTCTTTTGAGTATGGATCTGCTTGTTAACATACTCATAGAATAAAAATTTTGCTTACAAGCATCTTTTTAAAAAAGTTATACTTTGAACAGATAATAAGAATAGATATTCAGTCACAGTTGTAAAGAATAGAAAAGAAATTTTATTTTAAAGTTTCAAATCAAGGCGAAGTCACTATTTTTGCTGGTATTTGGCATTTTCTTCTGTTTTTTTCTTTTTTTTGCCACCAAAACCCATAGACAAATACTACTGATATGTAATATAATGCATGTTTACTACCTGTTAAAAAAAGAATTGTTTGGAATTGTTTTTAGTATGCTGTAAAATTTTCTATTGGCATTTTTATTACCAGGAAAATAATGCATGTATTAAAGCTTTGGAGTAATATCACTGAAATATTTTATTATTTAGTACTTTTAATGCTTAATAAATAATAGCAAACATAATTTGGTGCAAAGTTGAGACTTTTCCATTCTAATTCTTATACATTTTAAGAAGATTTCTAAGTAAATAAAATGCCTATCTCTAGTCAATAGAGAAAACACCTTACTCATTGGTTTACCCCAAATCCATATTTTGTTTTCTTACTAGCTTAGGAGCAGGATAGCAAATGATGAGTCAGCACTATTCATAATATGCTGTATTGACTAATTTTGTTGAATGGAGAGAGAAAAAAATATGTGTATATATATGTCTTTTTTTTCTTCTTGTGAGAAACAGTGTCTAACTGTATTGACCAGGCAGATCTTGAACTCCTGAGCTCAAGCTATCCTCCTGCTTCTACCTTCTTAAGTGCTGGAATTACAAGCACGAGCCACCACTCCTGGCAAGAAAATTTGATATTAAATCACTTAAAAGATCTTAAACTGTCATTTATTATGATCCTATTAATTTTCCATGTATCATATACTGAAATTGCATACCAAACTATAATAGTAACAGCAGCAACAAAAAACACCAGTATCTACTTTGTACATTAAAGAAAATAATTGTGAGTAATTTGGCTTTTTGTTTTACTAATACACATTTTTCTGCCTTGCATGCACATATATATATATATATGTCTTTTTTTTTTTTTTTTTTTTCCAGTAGAGATGGGTTTCATCATATTGGCCAGGCTTGTCTCGAATTCTTCACCTCGTGATCTGCCTGCCTCAGCCTCCCAAAGTGCTGGGATTATAGGCATGACACACTGTGCTTGACCCTGCCTTGCATATTTTAAAGACCCATTCTTTTGTCTTTGCTTTGTATTTTCTTTAAGTATATTAGAGCAATGTAACTAGATTTTTTTGGTGCTGTTTATTACTCCACTACTAGTTTTAGAGGTCAAAGGTCTCTTTGGGATGTTACAAGGAAAAAATCTCATTATGAAAAATTAGAAGTAAATGATTTTGTGGTCTTTAACACATTTAAAGTTTGTATAAATAAATCAAATATATTATGCAACTAACACATCACAGTTCTCTCAAAATTTGTTCACATATCATATGTGAAGACCAAGAAAGACACAGTTTTAGAACTTACCCATATACATTACTTATGGCTTTAAGATAGTGTCTGAAATGAGAGTTGCTCTATTTAAGTTGGCTTGAGATTATTTCAAGTGGTCTTTCTGTTTGGTTTTTCATACCACAGATCTATTATTGTTATTGAGCTCACCTATAATTTGTGGAAATCTTACTCTGTCTCTGAACATAGATTCATGGTAAACCCATGAAGGTAATGAATCTTAAATTGTCATAGCCCGTCACTTGCACAGGTCTCTTCCAAGGCATTTGAACTTTTTTGGTAAAAATTTGCAGAAATACAATATTTAAGCACAATCTTTTAAAGGCTTTTATTTTATTCTCTGACTTTTCCATTAGACTTCCTCTCATTTACAGTGTCTTAGGAATAGCCAGGCACATTTAGAGATGCAGTTAAGTCCAAGTTCAGTTGGTGTTAAATTCAGTCTTGGTTTAGTGGAGTTATTTTTACATGGTTTGTAGACACTTGTGTACAGTTTAGTTGCTGCTATCTATTCTGGTGAAGAAATATGGTCTCTAGAAATACTTCTGTCATTCATTATATTTCCTTCCTGATCGTGACGGTTTCCTTCCTGATCGTGACATAAATGTGCAAAGCCAGATGTGACACTGCAATTTAAAAATTTCCTATGACACCTAAGATATGTGGGTAGTGGAAGAGAATTAATGTTTGTAGCATATGAAGCCAGAAGCTAGTCTATGGAAAATTCTTTCATTCATTGCATATATGTAACAATAATGGACATTTGGTTTTCATAGATACCTAATTCAAAGAGAAATTTTCTCCTACATATTCTTGGTGGAGTATGTAAAGTACACAGAACACATGTCAAGTGTAGTACTTAAAATTGCAAATGTACCGTACTTTCCCCCCTCTTGATAAGTATAATATCAAGTGGAGTTGATCAGAATGCCAGTGTTTGTAAGGCATAGGCTAGAGCAGTGTAGCGAGCATGAGCTCTTGTGGCAGTGTGGGTGCATGTTTTATGCATCACAACCGTCAGTAGCAAAAAACAAAATTGGATCAGCTGTTCACAGGAAAGCAACATTATAGAAAGTAAACTATGAAATTATTACATGAAGAGAGACAGTCATAGACTATGTTGCTAAAAAAAATTGAAGCATTAGAAAATAGTGTTAGGCAATTAATTAATTAAAATGTTATTTTAGTTTTCTGGATTTTGTCGGTTGTGGTTCTTGTTGGCTGTTACAAATTTATTTCTTGGGATTTTTTTTTCCTAAATAACCATTCATTTTGGCATGTAATTTTCTGTGTGTAATTTTTCTATTTTGTTCTCTATGAAGGACCCTTAAATTTTACAAGCTTTAGACCCTACAAAACTTGACTTTACCTTTTTTATTTATCAAGTAATAGTTTCAAGAAATTGGCATAGCATTCCACTGGACATTTATAGGTTGATATGTGCATTTCAGAACATTTCATCGTATCCTAGATATCTTTGTATTTCAGAGATTTAGGATTTGGGAGAAGAGAGACTGAAAGATTACAAATTAAACAAATTCATTTATTAAGGGACATTAATTAAATGTATAAGCTAAAACATTCATTTATTTATTCAGTAAAAGACGAGCTAGAATAACCCATTTTCACAGTTTATGTTAAATAAATTCTTGGCTTAAAAATCCTCCTATAATATGGACAAAACTAAATGGAGGAATAGACAGATTTTAAGGAAATTTCACCAATATACTTTGCCTTTATTCTCTACTTGCCCTTCTTCTCCTTATTTTTGGAAGTTTCCCTCACTTTCAACTCCCATTACACCCTTTATAAGGAGAAAACTATTATTTAAGTTACTTTTCCTTAGTAATGGTGTTTCTGTTAGATCTATAATCAAAAAAAATCTTATAGTAAATGAAAATTTTTTTTTCTGTTATTACTCTTGGAACTTAGAAAAATGGCACAGGAAGAGAATGTATGCTGATTTTTTAATGATATTTTATAATTTGGTAATTTTTTCATACATTTGATTATCTTACAACATCCTAAAATGTTCTTATTATTAATTAATAGAATTCCATATATGTCATTAAAAAGAATATTTAATAAATTTTGAAATCGAATTGTGAGGTGTGTGAATGAGACCGCACCTTTAAAAATGTACATAGATAGGTGTGTGAGATAGAGAGAGAGAGGTAGTGGTCATAACAAATATATTATCTAGTAAGTTGATTCAAGGAACTTATATATGTCTTGCCATTTGTTTCAACCCTTGATGAGTAGACCTTTATTAAGCTGTGATGATTACTGAGTATAAAATGTAACCAAGATTATTTTTTATTCAAATATAATTTAAATATTCATCAAAGAGAAGTTGTGCTTGAGACTGACAGAGACTATTAACATCAAAAAATATAATTAACTGCATTGGGTATCATGAAGCAGAGTTAGCCAAATAGCCGAGAGGTCTAATTGCTCTAGAGTTTAAGAAGCAATGGTTTTATTTTATGCTGTAGCTGTGGAATTAATAGTAATGTGGTTTCCTATGTGGGCCAATTAAAAGCTGCCTGTTAAGGTTCATTGCTCTATAGGAAACCCATTGAATATCGCTTAGTAAACAGGATTGACATGTCAGTGTGTACAAGAAGATAAAATAGAATAAAAACCATGAAAATGAGACGTAGTATTAAAAGAACTGTCTTCGAAAACAATTCATAGAAGTCTTTACCATTAGTGTTATAGTGGGTGTTGTGGTGTGCCTCCCAGATTTGCCTTTCAGAATCAGACACTCTTTCCCCCAGCTGTCAAGAGACTTGCCTGCTGATGGGCTCACAGCTGAGTCCCTCCGCAGGAACTGTCATGGGCTGAAGGGATTTTAAACCCTTCTCCCCAGAGGCAACCCCCAATGAATCCCAATGAATGCCAGACTACAAAGGATTGGCCTCCTCATCTTTTGCTTCATTTCAGCGACATCTCTGAAGGTCTCTCCCAACTCCAAAGCTCCCTCCCTGAGGAATTTGCTGGGCTTTTGTTGCAACTGCACTGGAGTTCAACCTCTCACTCTCCCCAACCCTGCATCTGTCATGGCTTCACTGACAGTTCTAAGAGCATTCCCAATAAGCCTCTTAGAGATCTCTGCCTCAGATTGTACTTCCCGTGTTACCCAACCAAAGAAAAGTACTAACATTACATTTTAAAATACTGGCTATATACATTATGGGAATCTAGTTATTAAGTATAAAAACTAAAAGTTTTAAAGGAGAAAACCAAAAAAAGCCCAATTCAGGTCTAAAAATGGCTTTTTGCACTCAAAGTTTATCTTTGTCTTGTCATCCTTTTTCTTTAATAAAAGTAATATTTTGACCTTTGTGGCTCTATTAAGCTTTTTAACTAAATACAAAAAGAAAGCGCTTCTGATTGAACCCAAAAAATTTTGCCTGGCCTTGGCTGTAGAGATTTAAAAGTGGGCAGACATTCTAATGGCGTTTTGACATTAATGAGGTTGCTGAAATGGAAAAGTTTAAGGGTCAAAGATAAGAGCAGCGGCAAGTTCTTCTAGTGTTTCTTTTTCTTAATAATGTCATATCAAATATGCTTAAGAAGTTGACCATGATTCCTTATATAGAATATGTAATGTTACTACTTTAAGTGTTATAATACTTTTTACAAATAAAAAAAATTCTAAAACTCTGTAACTATAAAACATGCCACCTCAGCCTATGAAATTAATATATTTAGTTGTAACTTCAGCAAAACACATAAAAAAATCTTAAAATTGCTTAATAGATTTTATTGCATACAATATGATAATGTGTATAATACAACTTTAAACTGCAGCGATAAAGCTGTTTTTCTAGTCATTCATTATTTAGTGTGCTTACTCTGTTTGTATCTGTGGCATAAGAATGCATGTTTGCTTTCAGAAGAGCACAACATTTGCTGCTTCATGGCACATGGCCCTCTACTCCCAAGCCTGCACGTGGTGTTAGTGATAGTTAAAGCACTTGAGTCTAACATTTTACAGATTTTGATGAATTGAGCCTTTCAGACAAGTTACTGATAATGAAGCAAATTCAGGCTAGGAGTATTGGGAATAGAGGGATTTTGCTTTCATTGTCACTTTTAAAAAGTTGTACAAACTGCTTATGTTTTAATTTGGTTTATATCATGTTGTTATGGAACCATGCTTGACTTCTGAAAATGATATCTTGTCTTTCATTAATTGATTTGTGCTGCAAATGATTAGTGAGTTCTATGATACACAAGCAAATGTGCCAAACACTCTAACGGTATTTATGAACAACAGGTAAGAATATATTAAAATATTTGTTAGAGTACAGGCTGATGTTTACGGAGTTAATACATTTTAGAATAAGGTAGAGTGTTTGCACCGCATGTGATTCAGAGACTCTTGAAACAGTGACTAACCCCTCAAAGGCTCTGTCATCTGGTGAAGAAGAGGAGATAATGTACAGAAATAACTGTGATACCAAATCTCCCTTACAATATAGAAAACTTTCAAAAACTGGTGGAGAAGAGAAAGTGGTAAGTTATGGCCTGAGAAGGCAAAAAGTACTGTATGCTCAAGGGGTACTGAGGGAGGTCTGTTAGGGAGTTACTCGGCTTCTCGCCCCTTTCTTTCACACCCTCTGTAACATGCAGCATCTTCTTCAGCTTTCTTCCTCCTTTCAGGCATTGTGAGTGAATTCTCTTCTTTCACTTAAGGAGGAAAGGATCTTTCAAAGATTGTGATCTTTATATATATCTCAAAAATTATGAAAATAGTCCTACAAAATATCATATTTTAAACATTATTTTTAACTCTGTAATGTCAGCATGGAAAATAGCACTAGGGGTTGAGTCCTTAATATTTACTTTGAAATAATAAGGAGTTCAATATAAGAAGGACTAATAATATACATTTTCATATTCACTTATCAATTTTTTTATCTGTATATATATTATTCAGACATAGCATATTTATGGTATTACTATGTTTCCAAAATTATAGGTATTTCTACACTTAGGAGGTAGTGTAGATTACATTATGTAACATATGTAACAGCACATAATGTCTTTTACCAATTTTACTAAAACCAGGACTACAGATGAATAAAAAGTTATCTGACTGGGCTCAGTGGCTCATGCCCGTAGTCCCAGGACATTGGGAGGCGGATGCAGGGGAAATGCTCGAGGCCAGGAGTTTGAGGCCAGCTGGACCAAAACAGTGAGACCCCCGTCTCTATAGTAAACAAAAAATAAATTTATATTTCTCCTCCCTCCCTTTCTTCCTTTCCTCCTTCTTCCTATCTACCTGTGACTAATTGCTCTATTTATGTATCTATCTCTATTTTTAAAGGTAATTTCTTACTTTTGTGATTGAGATGCAGCAAAAGGACCCTTCCCTTGATCTGTGCTTTTTAGAAAGAGCTCGTTGGGTAATAGGCTGTAGACTGAATGCTTATGAGTTCAGTGTTCAGTTATCAAGAATGCCATCAGCAATGCCTTGTTCCTTTATTATCAGCTACTTCCTGCTGTCAGCTTGGCACTTATTTCAATAGAAAAGGATTTACATCAAATGTAATGCCTTATTATATACAGCTAACATAGGGTTTTTAATTGTGCAAACACATGAGACTCCTGCAGTGGTAGTCAATTTGATAAAAGGATTAGATTATGAATATTTTGTCATGATTAAAGATTAGTTCAGATTTATCAGAAGTCAGCCAGTGAAATTTGTCGTATATTTATCAGTTAGGTGAGCCTCTCATTAATCTGAGAGTGTATGAACCGCAAAGTAGCCATCTCTTTAAAAGTCTGCTAAATTTGATTGTTTATATTCAGGTGACAGGTGCTAAGGGTTATTTTTGGCTTTCCATACTTCTCCACTGCTCAAATTGTATCCTAGGAGTCTGTGTCTCTAGCTTTTGGTCGTTAATTGTTTTTTTTAAATCTCATCTTATAGAATAGTTTGTTAAACATCTACGCAAAATTTCTGTAGTTTTTATTAAAGAAATAACAACTGTTATATATCTCGACATTTTTAATTGTTTCTTTGATGAAAAACCCTTCAGTAAAATACAGAAGATTGAGAATTCCAACTTAGAAGGTATTTAAATTGAGTACTTCATGCCATAAACAAGACTAGGCATTGAGATAGATTGAAAAGAAGCCTGGCATAGAACAGAAGGGTGAAACTACAGTCCTAGACACAACTAAAATCACTGTATGAGGCCCAATATAATAGTACCCACTACTCTTGGAGTGTTTCGGAAATAGTGTAAACAAGGACATAAGAAGCTTACCATGTAATTCTAGACATGGAAAATAATTAGTGAGTTTAGCAGCAACTAAAATGCAAAATACAAAAGAGATGCCATAAAGCAGAAAGTGATTAATTTCCAAATTAATTATATAGAGTTCCTGCTGTATATAAAAGGAAAGGAGGAGACGACTACTTCAGGTTAGGGTAGTCAGGGAATATAATCCTGTTTGGCCAGCATCGTTCGTGTTGGCATTCTCTGTACTACTTATGTGGCTAATGCTTCCTGCGTATGTGTGTGTCTCCCTCAAGTACATAACAGGGAGATACCGTTTTTAGGATTGCAGTGCGGGCACCCCTGGGAGTTGGAAAACAGCAGTTCCTCAGACTAGAAGCATAGTATCTTAAGCTCTGGTAATTTTCTACCTCGAGGACTTAACAGTCCTGTAAATGGACCTTCTTATTAAGGAAGAGATAGTTCAGGAAGTGCACATAGTCATTTATGTGAGAACTCACTTCAGAAGTATTTGCTAGTGTGCTAGTTGTTTTAAATTACGTAGATATCAAGATTCTAAAAGTCTACATAGAAAAGGTTGCCTCAGGATGGTTTTAAGTATCTGAGCCATGCTTATGGAGTAGATAGTATATAGATAGTATAACAGAGAGAAAGATCTTTCAGATACAGTGATTCTTCTAGCCTGTGGTGTTGGTAAGTCAATCAGATTCTCTGGCCTTAGTATATCTTATCTGTATTAATGAGGAATTAGATCAGTGATTTTTAAACTGGAATTCTTGGAAAAACCCTCTGGTTGAGGGGTGAGTGAGGTATATGGGAGGAGAGAGCAAAGGGATTTTTCAGGGGTTTGGAGCAGAATTTCACTACTATAATCCCAGAACTGCCTCCACGTCTATTTCTAATCCATTCAATTAAGTAGGTTTTTTGTTCATTTTTTAAGTAAAATTTTTCATGGTAAAGAAATTTTGTTGCCAGAATTTGATACTAATTTGATACTACTGTATTTGATGATTCTACATAATTTATGCTCATTTGTTGTTAAGCACATACTTGCTAATAATGTTTTTTTAGTTCAGGGAGAAGGATCCTCTATTAAAACAGAATACTGGTATGAAAGTCCTGAGGGGAGTTGGGATATAATTTGACCATGATGCTCAATAAGTAGATGGTAAGGTAAATTCCTTCTATGTGGGAAAGAAGAACATAAGGAAATACAGATCAAATTTGAAATGTGATGCTTAATAGAAAAGATTCATGGCTTTATGAATAATTACATAGCTTTGTTTTTAGAATAAGAGTTTTCACTTTGTTGAAACTTTGGGGAAACAAGAATTATATATTTCCCTTGCCCTCCAACATTAACTTAATTCAATTCATATTGTTCAGGTATTGCTTGCTCATTATTTTTCATTCCCTTCTAATGCAAGATATACCACGAGTTTGTTCATAAACGACATCAAATATTTTACTGCCAAAATATTTTAGAAGTTTTAAGAGGAACAAAAACTACTTTAAAATTAAAGTAATAATTAGAAATGTTTATTTAGCTGAAAATCAAGTTTGGTGAAGAAATGCAGCATGTGAACATGAAAGTTGGGAAAGATCCAAAATTCATTTTGTGTAATGAATAATAGTGCTTTATTGCCTCTTGATTTTAAAAAACCAGAAACAAAACTTAAGCACTTACAGAACATAGAGTCTTTTTAATAAAAAATGGGAAACGTTTCTGAGTCAAATACTTTGACAAAGATGTATTTTTTTAAAGCCACACTTCAAAAGGCTTATGATTTTATTTCTGTGCTTTCAGTTTGATTTGTATAGGAAGTTCTGCCAGCATTTGTTGCCATGCTATAATCAAAGTGAGGTCTCTAAAAGTGGAAATTATATTAACTATCAATTAGAATAGAAAATTGTTTGTTTTATATTCAGAGATTTATAATACTGACTAAATGACATCTCATCAAACATCTCAGGAGTCAGAAAAAAAAATATGGCATAATTTTCTTCTTTTCAAAATGATATCCAAACCAAGGGAGTAATCTTTAAGGTGAATTTAAAATAGTAACAACACAAATCTAGTTTACTCAATTTTGCCCTCTAAAACTCCTTTTAGTTGCAGGTTCTTTTGCATTATTTCAAACTCTAATCCTCTGAGCGGGTAATTAACGGACCAGAAAAGCCATTTGTGGAAAAGAAGAGCCATAAGGGTGAAAATATTTCTTCACTGAATGATCTTTAAGAAGTAAATAATTACAAACGGAAAGGATTTGGGATGACCAGTCTAAATCTGAGAATAATTAGAAAGAATAGAGTATGAAAATCGAAATGCTTGGCATGTATAACAATTCTCATATCATAACAAGACTAATTAAATATTTAGAAACCAAAATCCCCTCACAATTTGAAGAAAAATAACCCAGGACAAAAGGGTCTGTAACTCTGCAGATAATTAGCAAGGGTTATAGGAAGGAAAAACATCACAGATTGGCTCCAAGGCTCTGCAAGGTCATGTCTTATTACGCTGTGTCTTTTATATAGTCTGGTAACAAGTTTCTTGCTAATTTAATCTAACTAGGGCATCCCATAGCGATTTCCCATTTCCCTTGTTAAAAATGTGATAGTTTCTGCAAGTGCAAACTGCAGTAGGTTAACATTTTTATAAATAATTGCTCTTAATTGATACAGGTTGTAATATTTTTTGAATTATTAAAAGTGAAGGCTTTGAAAATTTGGACACAGAAGCAATATTTTTTTAAGTATTTCAAAATTTTATGGTTTTTATTCCCACTTAAATTTTCTTATTCCTTTCATTAAGTAGTTAGACCTGATGACCCTGTGAATGAAACAGGCTCAGTGGCATGCTTTGTAAATAAATACTTCTTATTTTGCTAATAAAAACAAGCATATTTATGTTGAATGTGCATTTCTGCAAACAAGAGATTTTGTACTGGATTAATAAGGCTCTGAGTGAGTCAAGCCTAATTTGCATTAAACTGACCCCAAGGTCTGGTAAAAACTGCAAGGAATCTTGAAGATTTCTAAAACGTAGAACATAGTTTTTAGAAAATCGGCGTTGCCATTTCAGAACGCTTATTTTAGTAATTAATGTGATATTTTTGAGGAAATTTTCGGAGTTTCTAAGTTGTAAGTGAACTAAATGTTGAAGTATGCATACTTTGTGTTTATAAATTCTGGCACATGCTTTACTCAAACATAAAGATGATGGAAACATGTTATTTTGTTTTCATCATCTGAAAAATAGCATGACAACCTCCTACAACAGATTATCCGTATGATTTTACTGTGAAGCTTTTGTTTACTTGCTACCAGTTACTTGATTTTTACTTGGGGAGTGAGGGCTTTCTATTTCTCTTATACACTGTACTCCTTTTCAGTCAAATAGATTTATGTTTACACATTGAAAGTGCAGAAAAACATTTTACATTTTTTATGATTATGATTTTAATAAATGGAATTTTAAAATATTTTCTTATAAATGCAATTTCAAGGATTTAATCACAGTTGCAATTTTTTAAAAATCAGGACTATATTTAAAACTTTTGAAAATACTAATAAGTAGGAAATTGAATGTAATAAAAATTATATTTATTTTTCTCAAATTATGTATAAGTGTACCAGTATTCATGCATATTATGCTAGAGATTCTGAAACCAACTTTGTTTCAGTAATGATTTCAAAATACTTTAAGTAACACAACATTGTATAATGTAAATTGTAGAATATCCTAACATGCCTATAGAATTAAATTCTGTATGATGGTTAGAAATCTAGACTGCATGTATTATTAAATAAATAATGAGAAATAGCTATGTGACAAATGGGAACATTGTTACAGAACACTCTTTTTTGCCACATTAATTACACACCATTTAGCTTCCTAATGTTATATTTACCTAGCAATTAGTTAAGCTCACAAATCATCATTAATAAATATTTAAAGAAAGCAAGACCCACTTTCCCTAGCTGTATAGAATAAAAATTTAAATGATAAAAAGAGCATTTCATTATAAAATAAAAAAACTTTTCGAAAGGTTTGATTTAACATTCAACTTTGTTTCCCGTTTGCATCTGTGAGGATGTTTGAAACCTTGTATATTGAAGCATAACTCTTTGTATTCCCTCTCCATTCACTTGATTATTTTGCCTGAGCAAATCTATTTGCATTGGTGCCTGCCTATTTACGTTCTAAAGTTATATGCTTTGTGTATAAAATTTTGTTATAAATTTAGACTTTAAAAGACAGTGCCTAGAGTACTAGGTCATTTGGAATTTACTAGTGTATACGGATAATTTATTCCCCCTTCCTTTTAAATAGGTAATCTATTTCATAAGGGTTTATTATTGGCATTCATGATACAAAACTATATTCCAATTGACAGAATTCTCTGAGAATCAGGTATTGCTGATTGAGGCAAAATTGGATGTTTGGTGTTTATTTTCTACGTGGAAATAGCCAGGTAATCATTAATCATTATTTCATTCTTGTAAAAACACCGAATTTTTATGTGGTAGGCATATAAACATTTCCAATAAGAATTTATAAGTTGGCAGCTTCTTTTTTTCTTTTATCCTTTTCTCTCAAACTCCCACTTTCTCGTAGTTTCAAAATTTTTAAAACTTGTGTACCTGAACAGAATGTAATTTACTTATTAACATATAATTTATTTTTATTTAGTAATTGAGGCTCAAGAATGAATGTAATTCCTATTCCATTAATTAAAGAACTGATTCATATTGCAATAATTCATCTGTAGATAATCTGTTCATTTAGAGTACACAGTTTACCTAAGGATGTGGTTTAAGCTCTTCCAGTAACTCCTGTGTATGTTTTATTTATATTTGATACTATGAAAAGGAGTATCATTACATGATAACTTGGTACCTTGAAAGTATTGATTTCTCCAAAAAGTGAGCACTTTTAACTGACACAGAAAGTAACTCAGGAAAAATTTAAAAAGTCCTATCATTGCTAGTATTTTATAATTGAAGTTTAACAAATAAATAGATGCTAAAAGATAAAAACTGATGAAGCAATCTCCATCGAACATATAGACTCAATAAAGGATTGAACTAATTATTTAATTGATAATTGTATAATTTCAGATTTAAGCAAACTTTAGTTTTTTTAGTTTCTGTTATGATATACTGAGCTTTTCTGTTGAATGCTGGAATATTTGTTCAAGGCGGTAGATTTTGCATTTTTAATCTGCTTTAGAACCGTGGTGAATAATGGCCCCTGGCAGGGGATAATGAAATTTTCTTAATTTATATTTTCAAGAAGAAGCTTCAATTGAAAATGGCATCCTATGGCCTGGAGACATAGCTCTAGTGCAGGTTTCAGGGGAGCTGGAATAATAATGCAGTGCCATTGGTGAAGGGGAACGGTGGGACAGTGAAGAAGTAATTTAAGGAAGAAAAGAAAATGCACCAAAGCTTTATTGTAGCATATCTAATGATCTGCTGAAGATTCCCAATGGTTTTTGGAGCATGACTGGAGAAACTAATGTTATCTTGCCAAAACAGAAGCCCCTGCTTAATAGGCAGAACAAGACTATTGATTAAAACACCTCTCACAATAGATTACACATGGAATCTCATCTCCATACTTTGCACTTGGTAAAGTGTAATAATGAGCATAAGATAATCAAAAGAAGAGTAAAAGCAATTTGTTGGGCATTGTAAAATTCAAGATTAGAGTTGGAATGGAAACAAATTTGCATGAATAGTTCAGCCTATTTTTAAAGCTGTACAGAGGAAAAGAGTATGCACAGTACAGGGGCTACTGTGGAAGAGTAAAAGATGTTCCGCTTCTTTAAGGTTTGCAAACCTGCAAATAAGGGATTTTGTTAATGGTTTTGGTGTTGGTAGTAATTTATATTTCTTGATGTTTGTTATCCAGGTATTATACAGAGAGTTACCTGCACTGTCTCATTTAACTTTAACAAACTTCTAAAGAAGATAGTAGGTTTTAGGTTTTATAGATGATAAAGCTAAGATTGAAAGGTTTAATACATTGCTTGACTCAAAATTAAGTAAGCAGGCGAGCTGGAACTTACACACCAATTTTTTCTGATTCTGAAGCTTCTGCTTTTCAACACTAATCTTCCCAATTAGCAAATGATTTTGCTTTTGAACAGATATAAACAGTATACTATATTGTTTTTTGATACAATTTATTCTGAGACTATAATAAATAACGTGTGCATTGTGCTCTTTTTCACTTACAGTTTTAAAAGATTAAGGAAAGGGAACATATTTATAGTTTGTTTTCATTAATATTTCATTAGTAATGAGGCACTATGTCTCAAAAATAAAAATATAATCTTTCTTGAAAATACTGCTGCTAATCTGTACGTGATACTTTTAAGTAATTTCCATATATTGGTATGTAAATTAATGATAATACACTTTTATAAAAAGCCTTTTCACCCTTTACACAGTTTTTGAGAACATTTATCTTAATTTCAAAAAATATTGTGAATGCCTTAAAAGTTAA